AGAAGCTTATTTCCAATTGGCACATTGAGACTTTGGCCTTTTTGATTGATTACTTGACAGTTCTGTTCCAAACAGGGTATGCGTATTTTTCTAGTGAAATAAGAGATAGTTATGAAGAGGCTACTCTGTGCTAAACACTGTAAGGGCTATAAAAAATAATGTGGGTCAGGGTCTTTTGTCCTCTACTAGTTCATAGTCTAACTGGAGAGACTGTGTATGTATATGTACAGGAAAATGTAACAGACAGTACAAGGCTGTATGGAACAGATTCTGACAGTGAGCATCAACAGTGATTGCTTGATAACCCAAAAATCAAACCCACTTCCGTCAATTTGATTCTGACACACAGCAACCCAACAGGACAGAGTAGAACTGCCTCATATGTTTCCAAGGATGTAAATCTTTACAGAAGCGGACTGCAAATCTTTCTCCTGTACAGCAGCTGGTGGGTTTTAACCATCAACCTTTTGGTTAGCAGCCTCGCACTTTAATCACTGTGCCACCAGGGCTCCTTAATTGCCTAATAAACCAAAAAAACCAAACTCTCTGCCTTTGAGTCAATTCCGACTTTGATCCTATAGGACAGAGTAGAACTACCCTGTGGTGTTTTCAAAGCTATAAATCTTTACAGAAGTAAGTAGACTACTGGCTTGTTTTCCTCTTGCAGAGCAGTTGGTGGGTTTGAACCACTGACCTTCTGCTTAGCAGCCAGATGCCTTACCCACTATGCCATCAGAGCTCCTTTAATAGAGGCAGTAAATATACAAGAGCTTAGGAAGGGAGAACAGGCATGGTGCTCTATACCTTAAGAGACTCATTCTTCCATCTCTTCATCAAGATTTATTTTCTTAGTTTTTTTTTCCCCCTGCTATCCTTGTCCTTGGCATGCTTCCCAAGGATGAAGACACATTTGAGATTCTGAGAGTACAGAAGCTGACTTAGTTTCAGCATCTGCAGTTTTTGTGCAACAGTATTTTGATCTGATAGCAGTCTAGTCAGTTAAAGAAAGCTAGCACCTCTCAGAGCACAGATGATCTCATCTTACTGGGAGGCATGACTTTCCTCTGAAATTTCTTGTCTGGTGTCTCTCTGCAAGTTTAAGACCTAAACTTCCAGGTCTGACCCTGACTAATTTTTCTTTACAATAGATTGTAGTGTGAATTTTTTTCTTACTACAAAACGCAAGTGTTATCTTGAAAAAAAAAAAAATCCAAATAAATGAAAAGAAGAAAATAAAATCACTTATAATCCCCTTTTGCAGAAACAGTCTTGGTTAAATACTCCTTGGTATGAGTGTCTTCCCTAGCTCTTTTTGGGGGTTTGCTGTGCTGTTTTCTGACCTTTTTTTTTTTTGTGTGTGTGAAAAGGATATCATCTCATGTTAAATTTATTGTAATGTTTTTCATGGATTCATGGCATTTCATTATATGGACATATTGTTATTTCTTTAACACACTCCGTAACATTAGATATTTAGATGGTATCTTAATTTTCATTTTTATGAACCACACTTCCATGATAATTACTTCTTTCTGAACTTCCAAAATTCTTAGAAAAAGAAATTTTCTTGGAAATGTTGGTTTCAAGGACCTGCATATTTTTTGAATTTTCTTATTTAGTGTCCTCCAGAAAAGCTATGCCAGTTTGCATTCTTAGCAGGAGGCGCCTGTTTTATCCATGAATTTGTTCTCTTGAGCTGAGAAATTAATTTTCATGTATTTAGTAATGTGAATTCAGAAGGTATTTGAGGTCTCTTCCATTGATTGATATTCTGCCTCTCTCTCTAGCCCTCATGTGGTCAAGTATTACGGCAGCTATTTTAAGAACACAGACCTGTGGATTGTTATGGAGTACTGTGGGGCTGGCTCTGTGTCTGATATCATTCGATTGCGGAACAAAACGGTAAGTTTACTTTGTAGAACAACGCAGCTGAGCTGGCCTTTTCTGCCTTCTGTTTTCCTCTGGCCTTTCATTCATGTCCGTTCCCCTCCTGCTCGATCTAGAGAGATGGCTGGCACATTTCCCCCTTCCCTCGAGTCTTCTCCTGTTGCTGCTCTTTGACCTCTCTTAGATGTAGCAGTTTTGACACCAACCCAGTCCAGTCCTTTTAAACATCTGCTTATTTCCCTTTTTTTTTAAATACTTTTTTTTGAGTATGTGAAAATAAACACAGCAAAAGATAGACCATTTCAACAAATTCTTGTTATTGTGTAATTCAGTGACATTGTTTACACTCTTTAAGTTTCTATTTCTTTCTTTTTTTCTTTTAATTGTGATTTGGGTGAAAGTTTGCAGAGCAAATTCACTTTCCATACAGCAGTTCACACATACTTTGTCTCATAACATTGATTATAATTTCCCGCAATGCAACAGCTCCCCTCCCACTTCCTTCCTGTAGTTACCTCTTCTCTGCATGCCCTCCCTCCATGCACCCCTGCCCCCTGAGCTGTCTCCCTGTGCATACACAGCCCTTCTGTTCTCCCATGATTGTTCTCTCCAAGGAGTGTATCTACCTAGTGTAAATGTTCACCTCATATGCCTGTCTTTTGTTTGGTTGGAAGCCACAGGTGTGGGTTCAATTCCATACCTAAAGGCCAGTCAGGGGCCATAGTCTCAGTGGTTCCACCAGGCTCTATCAGACCAGGAATCCTGGTCCCTTTTTTCTTTCCCCCCAAATGATTTTTGAGTTTTGTTCCACATTGTTTTCCCTCTCTATCCAAGATCTCCTACATAGATCCCCCTCCAAGTGGTTGACTGGTAGCTGGGCGCACCATCTAGTTCTTCTGGTCTCATAGTCATATAGGCTGAGATCACATGGTATACCAGTTGCTTGGACTAACTGTTTCCGTGCATCTTTGATTTTCTTCATTCTTCTTTGCCTGGATGAGGAGAAACCCATTGTTGCATTTAGATGGCTGCTTGCAAGCTTTTAAGATCCCAGTCACTACTTGCCAAAGTAGGAGGTAGAACAGTGTTTTGTGTAGTATGTTGTGCCAGTTGAGCTCGATGTCCCCGCGACTATGGTCCCAAGCCCACAGGTCCAACTACTCACTCCCTCTGGGTAGCTGGCTGTGACCAAGAAGTGACTACAACCTTGTCTTTTGTCAGCTCTACTATTACACCTGGGAATTTGTACAGAACATACAAATACACTTGTAGAAACATTGTCTGCCAGCCCTATACATGGTTTTGGGCACACTCCTCCCTGCATAGACATAGCTAATAGTTCAGCCTATCCACCCATCTATCCACCTGTATACCCATGTTTGCCTTCACTGACAACGCAGTACTGTATGTGCAAAAAGGTTCATCTTTGTTGTCTGTGCCTCCCATGTACCTCTTTATGCCTTTCTCTTCCTCATTGCAGCTGTGTTGATGACATTTGGTACATTGCCCTTCTCTTCCCCCAAATCAGTACTTGTCTCTACCTATCTGTGTTCCCTCCTCTCCCCTCCCATCCCTGGTAACCAACAAAGAAAATTTCCTTCCATATATAAACCTTTCTTTAAAGTTCTTACCTATTTCTTACTGGGAGAAAAATTAACTATAAAATCAATAATGAATTTTAAATGTTTAAATTTGGATGTGAAAATCTTCTCGTCCCTAGCATGTTCACAGGTTAGCTTCATCTGCATCTTATATCAGTAGTCCCTGGGTGTACAAAAGGCTAAGGTCTCAACTTCTAGCTGCAAGGTTGGCAGTTCAAACCTACCCAGAGGTGCTTCAGAAGACAGGCTGCTGATTGCTTTCCAAAGGTCACAGCCTTCAAAAGCCTATGGAGCAATGCTCCTTGGTGCATTGGGGTCACCATGAGTTGGCAGTGACTTGACAGCAACTAACAACAATATTCTATATACTGAAAGCCTGAAAATCAACTTCATCATTAATCAAAGAATAATGTGGTTATGAAACATTATCGGCTGTTAATATGAGAGCTATAATAAGTGTTCAAAATCATGGACTTAGTTTCTTAAACTCTTTATTAATTTATTCAGGAAATTTTTCCAGGGTACTGTTCAAGGCCATGGGAATACACTAGTAATTAAAACAGACAGTTATCCTGCTCTCATGGTAGCATACTTTCTGACAGGACAACAAAAAACAAATTAATGATAACCATAAAAGAGTACCAGGTAATGGTAATGCTATGAAGAAAACGAATCAGGGTGAAGTGAAGATAAAGTGGTAAAAGTACCTGGTGGGCCACTTTAGAGTGATGGTTAGGGAAGGTCACGCAGAGGTGGTAACATTTAAAGTAAGACCTGCGTAATAAGAAGGCACTAAGACTTTGGAAAGATCATTTTAGGTCGGGGAATAACCATTGCCAAGACCCTGAGGCTGGATGAGGTTGGCATGTTTTGAGTGATAGAAAGAGGGCCCTGTGGTTAGAGGGGAATACGGAAGGGGAAACTGATAGGAGGTAAGGTTGGACGGTGCTTTGGTTCCCTAGTGCTGCTCTGATAGGAATATACCACAAATAGGGTGGCCTTACCAAATACGAATTTATTCTCTCACAGCTTGGAGGCTTTATGTCTGAATTCAAAGTGCCAGGCTCTAGGGGCTGAGTAAAAGCCCCTCAACCTTGGCTTCACCTCTGCCTCCTGCTTGTGGTCCACTGCAGCTAGAGGCTTTTCTTTACACAGACAGCTGCTGAGGCTGACAAGCCCAAGGTCATGCCCAATGTTAGCAAACCACACAGCAGACCATTGGTTCAAGTCCATTGAAAGTCCTGGGATTGGCAGAGCATGGTAGGCTGTTGAACAACGACACAGCTGCATGCAGGGTTCAAGCATGCCATAGGCTGGAGACCATTCCCAAAGCTGTTTCTTATATACGGGAAGCAGATCACATCTCTAAAGCAGCTACTTAGCTGTTTCTGGTAGGGGTAGGTCCCACCATGGAGTTGATTGCCAGTCTCATCACGGGGCATAACTTACCACCAGCTGTCCAGCCACTCAGCCAGGCCCAGCCAAGTTGACACACAACCTTAACTACCACAGATGGGTAGGTAGGGCCAGATTATTTTAGGTATTGTTGGCCATGATCATGAGTTTGAATTTTATTCCGAGCAGTAAAAGTAGTATAAGTACTACTTGTATATTATATAATATACTTGTATATTATTGTAAAAAGTGTAGTTTAAAGTACAATGACATATCAGATGGTGATGCTGAGATGACAGATATGGTAGGATAAGGAGATAGAAAATGATCTGGGAATGGAGGGGGGCCTGGAAAGTCTTCTCTAATTTTTTTTTTATGTGGTAACATTTGGGCAGAGAAATGAAGTACAGGAGCAAGTTGTACAGATATCTGGATGAAGAAAGAAAAGCAGGCGAAAAGGTGGGAATGTGCTTGGAGTATTTGAGAAACAGCAGAGACGCCAGCATGGCTGGAACAGAATGAACGATGTGGAAAGTGGTAGGAAAGCAAGTCAGAGAGGTAGCCAGACCGTTGTTCATGGCTGACAATACCAAACATAATCTGGCCTTACTTGCCTGAAACATCATCTCTTCTCAGTTTCCCCCTTCTCTCTATTTCTCTAGTCACAGGGCTTTCTTTCTGTGAAGCTCATGTATGCTCTTTTAGGCCTTGGTGATGGCTGGCTTTTATTTTGAGTGACTTAGGAAGTCATTGGATAGTGTTAAACAGATCTGGCTCATGTTTTAAAACATTCCTTGTGGCTGCGGGTGGGGCAAGGTCACTAGTTAGGAAATTATTAGAATAATTAAGTCAGGTTGGATTGGATCAGGTGATTACAGAGCACATATATCTGCGTATATTTTAAGATAAGAGTCGAGGATGATCTCAGGCTTTTGGCCAGAACAACTGAATGACATTGCCTGTTATAGAGAGGGAAGACTATGGGAAGAGTAAACAGGGATGGGGCAAAAGTGTGTGGGGGTAGTATGCTCTGATCTCCTCCAACATCATCAGGAGGGAACAGAATCACCAGAAGCACCAAGACTTATTCCTGTGGGCCAGACATGCTGCCATCCTCCAGCCTTCTTACTAACTCTGACACTAACCATCCCTCCCACAGCACTTACTACTTCTCTGCTGGGTTCAGTAATTCATTGCAGTGGCCACACAGAACTCATGGACAATACTCATGATTATGTGGTTTATTAGGGATATAACACATTATGGTTCAGGTTCAGGAACTTGCTCAGGATGTAGTTCTTCAATCAGGACAGCCTCCCCTCAGCCATGCGCAAAGGTACCTCCCTCTCTTCCGTGCTCCATCTCTTGACTTGGCCTCTGCCCTGCTTGGGCAGGTGTTACAAAACTCTTTTAGCTCTGCCAATAGGTACACCTAGGTGCACTTCACTCCACCAGCAAGCCTCATGGTTCCACTGTCTCTATCTCTCTGCCATGGAGGTCCTCAGGCCCAAGTACGCACTGCACTCTACCTCCAGCTCTTCTCTTGGGGGCAGTAAGATTCCACCTTTGGGCCTCTAAAACTAAAACCAAACTCACTGCTGTTGAGTCAGATCTGACTCATAGCAACTCCTCTTTGGGTTTCCGAGGCAGTATCACTGCGGAAGTAGATTGCTCAGTCTTCCTTCCGAGGAGTTCAAACCCACCAGCCTTCTGGTTAGCAGTCAAATAAATCCCTTAGGCACTATGCCACCAGAGCTCCTTTGGGCCTCTAGGAGGGTTTATTGTAAGCCTAGCAGAATGTCAAAACTGACTAATCCCCACATTAGGGCTCCAGACACCTTTTTTTCCATGGTTCCCATCCCCGCAAGGATGCCATATACCTTATTATCATTACTAACAAGCTATCCAATCCCTTTTGGTGGGTCACAAGCACCTTATGTTTGCAAAGTTCTACCCAATCATCGGGAGCTCTGGTAGCATAGTGCCTAAGGCACTTGACTGCTAACCAAAAGGCTGGCAGTTCAAACCCACCAGCCATTCCTCGGAAGGAAGATAGGGCAGTCTACTTCCATAGTGATACTGCCTCGGAAACCCAAGGAGGGGTCACTATGAGTTGGGTCCGACTCGACGGTGCACAACAACAACAAGAAACCCATTCATCTGGTAGGTGTCCCAAAGACCATGACTAGAAGAGCCATACTAAGTAATTCAGTGCACCACAGACAGATGGGTGGCAAGGGAAAAGGTAGGTAGGTGCCAGTAGAAAGTAAATTTGATACTGACGTGTTACATTTATGATGCTTGTTAGAGATTAAGGTAGATGCTGAGTGGGCAGGTTTATGAATCTGACGCATGAGGAGAGATGTGCGCTGGAAATGAGCTGAGGGAGTGGTCAGCATATTGGTGCATTACGAGCATGCCTGCCATGTATTGTTCTCACGGTGAATAAGATGCTGGGCTTATATTTGAGTAAAGTTGTTTGAATCTAATTGTTTTTCTTTTTCTCATGTACTGATATAACTGATAGAATTTGGTCGTCTCGTTCTTTTTTTCAGTTAACAGAAGATGAAATAGCTACAATCTTACAGTCAACGCTTAAGGGACTAGAATACCTTCATTTTATGAGAAAAATACACCGAGATATCAAGGCAGGAAATATTTTGCTAAATACAGAAGGACATGCAAAACTTGCAGATTTTGGGGTAGCAGGTCAACTTACAGTAAGTAAAAATGTTACTAATACCGCTTCTCAGTTTGTCTTGAAGTCAATTACTTTATTTTTTAAGTAAAATATTTGACTTAATCATGTCAATAAAAAACTGTGGACTCTACCAACAGGTTATAAAAGAGCTAGTAGGTTACTTTAGGTCCTTTCCAGGGGTTCAGGTCACATAGTTGACTACATGCATGTGTATTCTAATGAAAATAAAAACTTAAGAAATGATAGGGTAGAAGTTTAAATTCTTTAGAGCTACATCAATACATTAAAAAAGAAAAAAAAAATTACATTTGTACTCCTTTTCTTGAATTTGATATAAAATCATTCTATTCAACCTCTAGACAGTACTTGAAAGTTACTTTACTGGAAACACTCTCCTTACTTGCTTCCAGAACATCAGCTTCTTAATTTTCCTACCATCTCACTAAGGGCTGGCAGTGCAACACCTCTCAGACAACCGAAAAAACCAAACTCATTGCCCTTGAGTTGGATCTGACTCATTGTGACCCCTCCTTGGGTTTCTGAGGAGGTATCACTATGGAAGTAGATTGCCCAATCTTCCTTCCGAGGAATGGCTGGTGGGTTTGAACCACCAGCCTTCTGATTAGCGTTCACATGCCTTAGGCACTATGGCACCAGAGCTCCTTCTCTTAGGACCTCTAGAATTAATCTGATTTTGTAAAATACATGAATATATGTGAAAATATAAAAAGAAGTTTGGGATAATTATGCAGTAAAATTTGCAAGAAATCATATCAAGTTGTTTTCTTGGATGGCAGAACATATATATAGGTATATATTTATGTACATACATATACATGTATCACTGCTGACAAGTCAATTCCAACTCATAGTGATGCTATAGGACAAAGTAGAATTGCCCCACAGGTTTTCTTTTAATAATCGGAACATGGAAGGTACGAAGTATGAATCTAGGGAAATTAGAAGTTGTCAAAAATGAAATGGAACACATAAAGATTGATATCCTAGGCGTTAGTGAGCTGAAGTGGACTGGTTTTGGCCATTTTGAATCAGACAACCATATGATCTACTATGCCAGGAATGACAATTTGAAGAGGAATGGCGTGGCATTCATCATCACAAAGGATGTTTCAAGATCTGTCCTGAAGTACAGTGTCAGTGATAGGATAATATCCATATGTCTACAAAGAAGACTAGTTACTATGACTATTATTCAAATTTATGCAGCAGCCACCAAAGCCAAAGATGAGGAAATTGAAGATTTTTATCAACTTTTGCAGTCTAAAACTGACCAAATGTGCAATCAAGATGTGTTAATTTTCACTGGTGACTGGGATGCCAAAGTTGGAAACAAGGAAGAATCACTGGTAGTTGGAAAATTTGGCCTTGGTGACAGAAATAGTGCTGGAACTCGCATGATAGAATTTTGCAAGACCAATGGAGCTCTGGTAGCATAGTGGCTAAGACACTTGACTGCTAACCAGAGGGCTGGTGGTTCAAACCCCCCAGCCACTCCTCGGAAGGAAGATGGGGCAATCTACTTCCGTAGTGATACTGCTTCGGAAACCCAAGGAGGGGTCGCTATGAGTCGGGTTTGACTTGACGGCACGTAACAACAACAACAACAATGACTTACACATCACAAATACCTTTTTCAGCAACACAAACAGTGGCTATACACGTGGACTTCGCCAGGTTGAATACACAGGAATCAGATTGACTACATTTGTGGTAAGAGGCGATGGAAAAGCTCAATGTCTTCAGCTAAAACAAGGCCAGGAGCTGATTGTGGAACAGACCATCAACTGCTCATATGCAAATTAAACTTGAAGTTGAAGACAATTAAAACAAGTCCATGAGAGCCAAAACATGACCTTGAATATATCTGTCCTGAATTTAGAGACCATCTAAAGAATAGGTTTGATGCATTGAACACCATTGATTGAAAACCAGAAGAATTTTGGGGTGATATGAATAACATCATCCATGAAGAAAGCAAGAGGTCATTAAAAAGACAAGAAAAAAGAAAAGACCAAAATGGATGACAGAAGAGACTATGAAGCTTACCCTTGAGCGGAGAGTAGCCAAAACAAATGGGAGAACTGACAAGATAAAAGCTGAACAGAAGATTTCAAAGAGCAGCTTGAGCAGACAAAGCCAATTACTATGATGAAATGTGCGAAGACCTGGAGTTAGAAAACCAAAAGGGAAGAACATGCTCAGCATTTCTCAAGCTGAAAGAACTGAGGAAAGAATTTAAGCGTTGAGTTGCAATATTGAAAGATTCTCTGGGTAAAATATTGAATGATATAGAGAGCATCAAAAGAAGATGGAAAGAATACACAGAGTCACTGTACCAAAAAGAACTGGTAGATCTTCATCCATTTCAGGAGGTGACATACGATCAAGAACCAATGATATTGAAGAAAGAAGTCAAAGCTGCACTGAAGCAATTGCCGAAGAGCAAGGCTCCAGGGGAATTGATGGAATACCCACTGAGATGTTTCAACAAACAGTTGCCCCACTGGAGGCACTCACTCAGTTATGCCAAGAGATTTGGAAGACAGCTGCCTGGCCAACTGACTGAAAGAGATTCATATTTTTACCCATTTCAAAGAAAGGTGATCCCATGGATTGTGGAAATTATCGAACAATGTCATTAATATTGAACATAAGTAAGATCTTACTGAAGATAATTCAAAAACGGTTGCAGCAGTGTATTGATAGAGAACTTCCAGAGGTGCAAGCTGGATTCAGAAGAGGACGTGGAACAGGGAATTCATTGCTGATGTCAAATGGATCTTAGCTCAAAGCAAAGAATACCAGAAAGATGTTTACTTGTGTTTTATTGACTATGCAAAAGCATTCAATTGTGTGGGTCATAACATTGAGAAGAATGGGAATTCCAGAGCACTTAATTGTACTCATTGAGGAACCTGTACATAGACCAGGAGACTGTTGTTAGAACAGAACAAGGAGACACTGCATGGTTTAGAGTCAAGAAGGGAGTGTGTCGTGGTTGTTTCCTTTCATCATACTTACTCAGTCTATATGCTGAGCAAATAATCTGAGAAGCTGGACTATATGAAGAAGAATGTGGCATCAAGGTTCAAGGAAGAATCATTAATAACCTGCGATATGCGGACAACACAACTTTGCTTGCTGAAAATGAGGATGACTTGAAGCACTTACTGATGAAGATTGAAGACTACATTCTGCAGTATGGGTTACATCTCAATATAAAGAAAACAAAAATCTTTGCAACTGGACCTATGAGCCGCATCACAATAAATGGAGAAAAGATAGGGGTTGTCAAAGACTTCACACTGCTTGGTTCTACAGTCAATGTCAATGGAAGCAGCAGTCAGAACATCAGACGAGGTATAGCTCTGGGCAAGTCACTGCAAAAGACCTCTTTCAAGTGCTGAAGAGCAAAGATGTCTCCTTGAGGACTAGGGCACACCTGACACAAGCCGTGATATTTTCAGTCGCCTCATATGCATGTGAAAGCTGGACAATGAATAAGGAAGACCGAAGAATTGATGTTTTTGACTTGTGGTGTTGGCGAAAAATGCGGAAAATACCATGGGCTGCTAAAAGAATTTACAAATCTGTCCTGGAGGAAGTGCAGCCAGAATGCTCCTTGGAAGCGAGAATGGCCAGACTTTGTCTCACCTACTTTGGTCATGTTGTCAGAAGGGACCATTCCCTGGAGAAGGATGTCATGCTTGTTCAGGTGGAGGGTCGACAGAAGAGGGGAAGGCCTTCAATGAAGATGGATTGACACAGTGGCTGCAGTAATGGGCTCAGGTATAGCAGGGATTGCAGAGCTGGCGTGGGACCAGGCGGTGTTTCATTCTGCTGTGCATAGGGTTGCTATAAGTGGAAGATGACTCTACAGCACCTAACAACAACAACAACAACAACAGATAGGGTTTCCAAGGCTGTAATCTTTACGGAAGCAGACTGCCTCATCTTTGTACTGTGGAGTAACTGGTGAATCCAAACCGCCAACCTTTCAGTTAGCAACTGATTGTTTAGTCACTGAGCCACCAGAATTGATGCGTTTGAATTACAGTGTCGGTGAAGAATATTGAATATATCATGGACTGCCAGAAGAACAAACACATGTGTTTTGGAAGAAATACAACCAGAATGCTCCTTGTAAGTAAGGATGGCCAGACTTTGTCTCACTCACTTTGGATATCTCATGAGGAAGGACCAGTCTCTGGAGAAGGATGTTATGTTTGGTAAAGTAGAGGGTTAGAGAAAAAAAGGAAGACCCTCAATGAGATGGATTGACATAGTGGCTGCAACAGTGGGATCAAACACCGCAACAGTTGTGAGGACGGTGCAGGCTTGGGCAGTGTTTGGTTCTGTTGTGCATAGTGTTGCTATGAGTCAGAGCCAACTCGGCAGCACTGAGTTTTCATTACTGTAGCTTTGTACTAAATTTTGAAATAAGGAAGTGTGAATTTTCAACTTTTTCCTTTTCATGGTTGTTCTATTCTGGGTCTCTTTCAGTTCCATAACAATTTTAAAAACAGCTTGTCAGTTTCTGCAAAAGACTGTTGGGGGATTTTGATAGGGATTGTGTTGGATCTTAAATCAATTTGGAAAATATTGCCATCTTAATAATATTAAATTTTGCAGTCCATGAACACAGGATGTCCTCCCGTTTATTTAGATCCTCTTTCATTTCTCTTAAAGATTTTTTGTGAGTCTCAGTTCTAGCACTTAAGTGGTTAAATTTATTCCTACATAGATTGTTCTTTTTAATGCCATTTCAAATGAAATTGTTTTCTTAATTTTATTTTTGGGTTTTTATTGTTAATGTACAATTAATTTTTGTATATATCTTGTATCCTGCCTCCTACCTGAACACGTATGTGTTTTGCTAAGGAAGATGTTTTCTTCACTAAAGTATTAGTGCCTATAGCATTGGATTGCTAACCAGAAGACTGGTGGTTCAAACCCAGCAGCCGCTCCCAGAAAGGAAAATGAGGCAATCTACTTACG